AGCTAATTCTAAAGCACTAACTCACTGAAAAATTTAGCAAAAGCTAATTCTAAAGCACTAATATAATCAAGTTGACAAACAGATCATTCAGAGTCAACATGAGACAATGTTTACTCTGTGCAGAATGTTGTCACTTAGTGCCCTTCGTTGGCCAAATAAGAGTCACCCGCAGGCCACATTTGGCCCACAGGCCTTGAGTTGGACACGTGACACACATATGAGCAAAATGTATGAAAGCTTTCACCCTCAACTGTGAACAATTGTGTTGATCAATAACATTTAAAGACCTCAGTTAGTGCTTCTAAATTTAGCCTGTAAATTTAGCAAGTGCTAATCCACTAATGAATTTTAAAAATAGCAAAAGCCCTAAAGCACTAATCAGGAAATTAGTTCTCCTATTAGTGCTTTAGTGCTTTAGGGGAACTGTGCCCACCACTGCACGTACAGTAACATAAAATCATTATTTTTTATAACGATGCAAAGGATAAAAGTCTGCTTTTGCAATTAGTTGTGCATACTTGTTCATTCCAGCCCACCAAGACCCAGAACAGACAGGAGGAAGAGGAGGATGAGGAGGAGGAAGAGGAGGAGGAAATAAAATGGGAGCTCTGCAGCCGAGAACAGAGGCGGAAACGGCTGAATGATTTACTTTTGCAGAAGGAAAGGTGAGTGCAGCGCCCGAAGCAGGAGCTCCCGTGGCTGCGACGTTTTGCTGACGATGTCTTGTTCTTTGTGTAAGGTGGTCTCATTCTGCAGCAGGGACCAGGTCCGCCGGTGGACAGATGGACAGCAACTGACACCGCCGCTGGTATCAACAGGACGACACACGAGTGAGGGTGTGTGGGGGGAGAGAGGAAAAACAAAAATGAGTTTTGCAAATGATCTGAAAAGAAGAAATGCAACAAAGATGTTGAACTCTTGCACTCTGAATAGCATCGCACCGACGATGAAACCCTGGAAATCTTTTTTTTTTTTTTGGTCCGAGCAGGCGAGAGATGATGAGAACTGTCCCGGATGAAAGAAAAGACCAGCTGAAATGAATTTTGCACTAGTGCTGAATGAACAAGCACCGTAACACAATGACTCGAGTGGACGCACGACAACGACTGCTCTCACTTTAGCACCTTAAGCAGAAGCTGGACGGTTTTGTAGATTTCAAAGCGAGCGCTACACGCAGCGTCTTCGGCTCGTCGTTTCCAAGAGCCGAGGAGCTCCTAATCCACAAGAGGAGGGACGCAAATGTAGCCCGGGCCCTAAGTAGGTCAGAACTGAACCTTGGTTTTACTCGTTAAGCTTTCAAAGTCACACTGCACCTTTGGGTGGGGAGGGGGGGACAAGAGGAAGAGAAGGAGCCAGTTTAAAAGCTGTTGGGTTTGCTTCGCCTTAATGCCACGTCGTCTGCCATGTCCCAGTCAACAGGCGGGACAGGACAGGGGACCACTGGGGGGGGGGTTAGCAATAGGAATTTTGGCATCGCTGCAAGAGAATTTCTAATGAGGTTTAAAGAAAGAGGTTATTTTTTTTGGAAGAGAAAAGGAATGCTGGAGTCCTGTCCTCTACAGAAATGAAGAATATATTCACAGGAATGTCTGGTCGACTATTTTCAGCGTTGCTTCCACGGAGCAGGGGGCAGAGCTGGGGGGGTGCACGGGGTTGTTGGGTGGGTTTGTTCCCTTCAGACTGCCTTTAGAGAATGTTTCACTCTTTGCTTCAGAGCACTGACAATCAGAATGTCCTCGGAGGCCGGGGGGCGGGGTCAGGAGGGGATCAGAGAGGAAAAGGAAAGCCCCGCCCCATAAAAACAAACGCTCTGCAGAAGTGCCATGTGTGCAAACCTAAAGCTGAGCTCATCCAGTCTTTTAAAGCAATATTTCCTTTAATAAGGACTATATTCAGTTGTTTTTTTTTATTATTAATTTGTGAATATTTAACTTTGTTTTGCTCCTGTACAAATAGATTGTTCTCATCTTAGGAGCGTCGGTTTAATCCACTTAGTGGAAGTTAAGTTTCATGTGAATGTACAGATCTGGTTTTCTTTTCATCAGCAGTAGCGTGTAAATGTAGTATTATCCAGGACAATACTATCTAGGGTTATACAACAAAAGAAGCTAATAATCAAACTTTTCTTTTTGCTGAGATGTTAACAAATTGCTGACCAATATATCAGGCATTTCTGCTTCTGACTGACATTTGTATTCGTTTTTTTATTTTTATTTGTAGAGCTACATATTTAGTTGCCTTTTTTTAAAGCTAAGCATTTTATTGGTCAGACAATCAGTGACAGTGAAATAGTCTTTTCCAGTGTTAAACTTCTGCTCTCTTTTTCAGTAGTGTGGCTTCTTATAACGAGCCAAAAAAAGTGCAATTTCTTTGACTGTTTACATACTTGTATGTATATTGTTTTTTTTTCCTCTTTCCTTTGTTTTTTAACTACAAGGCATTACGTTAATGCCAGCGGACGATTAACTTTATAGAAAAGGTACACTCAGAGTTATTTATCTAGTTTGCATGACATGTAACCTTTGCCTGTTGCCTCTCTGATGGTGTGCACCTGATAAACAAAACAAGAAGCAGTGATAATAGCGTAGAATGTAAGCTCAGATATTTTGCCTCTATATCCATAATAATAAAAAGCATTTTATGTATCCTGTGACCTACAAGCTGGTCGTCTGTCAGCCTCCTTCATGCTGGGTGTGCGTCTGCTTGGTTTGTGGTGAGTTAACAGTGCTGCCTAGTGGTGGAAGGTTGTGCGTCTTCTGGAGCTGCGTTGTCCTCTGAGATGACCCACGACAGAGGACAGTTCTGTCAGAGAGCAATTAAAGCTGCAGTTCTGTACGGGATAAAACTTGTGCCAGCAGGAACTGAATCTGAATAATTTGAAAAAGAATGCATTGGTTTGAAAATAAATTTCACTAAATTGAAACTAAATTTAAAGTTTTGTATCTGAATTAATTTGATTTTAAACTGTATTTTTGTTTATTAAAAATTCAGTTTGACTACTTTCACTTTCAGTTCCATAATTCAGATTTTTGTGTCACATCCTGGTCCTTGAGAAAGCCAGGCAGAGTAATCAAACACAGATCCATCTGATCAATATGTGATCCATGATGTCATCATGTAAATGTAACATTTTCTACATATAGGTCAAATTAATC